TGCCGATCGATCGCCTTTGGTTCGATTTTATTTTCTTCGGCCCTCGCACAGACGAAGAGAAGTGTGAGAGCAAACCAACCAGTCGAACTCATCCAGTGACTAATCCTCATCTGTGCTCTAATCGTATTTCAATTAATAAAAATAATAACGGCGGCGGTGGCACGGTGACGACGATCATCAGATGAATCAGATTCGACTAACCGGCGGCTGTCTGGACAAAGATGCGTCAGAAGAAAAGCCACCACCACCAGACAAACTTCTTTTCACCAGCCAAAGATGGTAGCTAAAACATGAACAAATTCATGCTTCAACCAACGCATTCCTATTCACCAGAAATAAAATGTTTCACATAACAACAAACAGACAAATCAACAATAAGAAAGAATTTTACATGTACTGCTCATCAGGACCACAGCTACACAAACAGGCAGTAGCAGCAACAATTCGAAAGGCTAAAAAATTTCCAGTCGATACAAAGCATTACTATAAGAACCTAACATGATCTAAGGTAACGGCACATCGAGTGACCCACCGTTGAGCACTGGTGGCGCGGTCGATGGTCGCATCGAGTCGCATTGTGTGCAGACACAACACCACGACGGTCGCCATCGGTCGACTTCGTTTTACCGACGGTCAGTCAGTCGCCTGGGGCAGATGTCGGGTCGATTTCGATGATCAGCATGTGGACTCTGCAACACGATTCGACAGTAGACGTTTGACATTGACACAGCGGGTAAAAACAGTCAAGTATATAAAGCGGATTAGACAAACATCGGCACCGCCACTTAGTTAATGAGAACGAGCTCATGTGAGAGTAAACTCTTTGAATGTCCTCATTTTACTCGAACGACGAGGCCGGTATGAGTTTTGAAACGCGTCGATGGACAAAGTATTTTACGTCATCTAAGCAACCTGTTGCGTTAAACACAAAAAAAATAATTAGTACAACTGTTTGTCAAAAGTCATTGCCAGAGTGCGCAGGCAGGATGCAAACTGGTCGAGTTTATGTGCTTCACCGCTTATGTAAAAATACCACACCTGTCAGGATTAGTCAAATAGTTTCAAACTGTGAAAAAGCCCCAAAAGAGTACTATTAGGGAACTTTCAGAATCTTGGCACAGTACACCGTTATCAGCGGATCAGACCAAAACGACAAACAGATCTTCGTCATTGTCACGCCGTTAAACGAACATCATGTCAAGTTGTGACAACTTCATGGTAAAAACGTTTACCATTTTTTGGGTTTATGTACTGTTTGAACTATTTGTCTACCGCCATCAGCGAAGTAATGAGTCTCAGAAATGAATTAAACAGCAGGATCTGTACTTGCTCCTCGTGAACTAGTCTATTTCATACTTGTCTGTAGGTTTTGCGACTGTATCAATGGTCAGATATAGTTAACAGCGATATGCAACTATTAAACCTAGTTAGTCATAGCTATTTTTATTTGATTCGAATTTTATTAAAAAAGTCGAATAGTCAACTTAATGTTTAATGTAGTTCGCTCTACCTTGAGCAGCCCGACGACCCCTTACTGTCTAACATGCAATCGACGACATTCCTTCAGTCTAGTGGGTGTTTATGCACTCCATAGAAACCACTCAAAACTAGGTCTTCTACTAATTTAATCCCTTCATATGATCCCTTTAGCAAAGAATCACTGAACGTGCAATAAACACTCATGTTCCATCGCGATATCAGAAAACTTGAGTGCTATCAAAAACTTGATATGAACACCCAGACTGACATCATGAGTGACACGTATCTGTCACTCCTCAATCTTTGTATGTTGTTTTACACTTAACGTTTACACTTTTACACTTACTTAATTCTAATAATCTGTTTTAATCCCATATTCTGTTTATGTCTTTGCATGGCGACCTGTTTCGTGCTTCACCACGCGTACCTTGCTAATGCTATCGGTGTGATAATGAAATTCGGTACGGTGCCAATTAAGTAACAATACAACTACGGATGATAAATAAACACATGCACTACTATCTTCAGATATGACATCGACTCCCACCATTCCAATAAATTTAATAACGTACAGACAGAGTGAATAACTTCCCAAGACGCACTGACTTGCTCGGAGGCAGATCATATGTCCAAAGTGCAACTGTGTTCAGAACCTAATTAACGTACTAGCTAATACTAGTTGCTGACTGCTAGTGGGCTCTGACCTCCGGCCTTACTGCCACTGTTATCAACTACATCTCCGTAAATCAAGCATTCTTTACCAACTTAAACACGGGGTGGTAGATGCAGTAGATTGACGTATACGAGATGTACGTAATTTTATGAAATATTTTTCATAAATTTTATTTCGAATTGTTCAGAAACAATGTTATTCATATTAACAAATGAAGAGACGAATTTTCTGAACGACTGCGATGCACCAAGATTTTCAAATTATGAAGCTAATTGTAGATTAAATTTAATAAGCTAACTAACCATCTAATTAAGTGTTACTGTAGCTACCTAAAATGCAACTTGACGGTAGAGAAGTGAAAATTTTTATCAAACAATGAAATAGCAAAACGCGTTTTACCGTGTATGTTTGCGACGCTGTTTTCTGACTCACTGCTTTCGGAACTACCTGAATTCAGCTGTAAATTGTGAAGTGTAGAAATACAACGTCAGCCGACAACTTACTTGACCGAAAAGGCCAGAGTTCGAGCACGGTGCTGAGAGTCCTAGCCGCTAGGTTGTAATCGAGCAGGTCCACGGTTTCCTTTGCCTTCACGGACGACGAGACGCTAGTGCAAGACAGCAGTGGACCGAAGATTCGACACAACTTGTTCTGAGGCAAACCGTTGTGCGGCGCCTGCGACAAAACGCACTTCAAGTGATCCATGATGATAATCAACGTACGCTGAAAAATACTCAACCGTCACAACTAGGTACAAGCAACACAACATGATCTTTCAATGTGCTCTGGTAATTTTAGGTAACTTCTAAACAAATATATATAATATAGTATATATATTCAGTGTAAGTAGCTGCTGACCATCTGGCGTGTGCCCGGATT